TTTTTTATTTTGTTTTTAACTTTTGAATTTGGTTCATTATCAATTTCCAGAGTGTGTTTGTTCGTTTCAGTTTATTTTTTATTATTTAGTTTTGGTTTATGTTTTATTAGTTTCAATATTAGTGTTAGGTTTATTATAATATGGTTCAGAAGTTTAGAGTAGGACATCATGCTCATGATCAGCTTCATGCTTGTTAGACAAATTTGACCAAACTGACTAAAACTAAAGCCATTTCCTGTGTATTTTATATATTTTGGTTAGTTTAGTAATTTGATACTCAGACACATTAGATGGTCTGACACTGTTGTTCCCATCAGTCTCAACAGCCACTGACCTCCTTTGCTAACATTCATTCAGATCTCCACATATCCCTCCATTCACTGTCTGAGCTCAGCTATGTCTAAGTTACACAACTCACAGTCTACAGATGAAGGATCTTCTTGTGTGTGTGTGTGTGTGCTCCTTCGGCCAATGCAGGATACCAGCTTAAATAGAGAGATTCACTCTAATCTCGTTAATGCAGTCTTGACAGGTCTAAGCTGTAATGACATAGGATGTGTCTTACCACTACTTCATGCGATATTTCATCTTTCTCAGAGGGCTTATTCCACCACAGCCCTTTTTATGTCTGCCACACTCACGTACACCTGCTTTACCCGTGCTGTCATCTTCACTTCTGATCAGCATGTATACCTCAGATATTCATGATGTCTCCTTTGTGTTTCCATGATTTGCAAACAGTCCTGTGGTTGCACTGCAGCCTCTATTAGGAATATTTGCTTCATTCTGCAGCTTCCTGTAATGCAAGGAGGGAATCACAACAAAAGCAATAACCCCTGAAGGCTGCTATCAAGTTATTATCCCACTGAATCAGACATATTAACCATGACATTGTCAGTATCTCTGCGCCTTTTTTTTGACAGTCTGTCAGCTCAGAGAGGCAGAAAAGCAAACTTATTGTTTCCCTTCTGATTCATAAAGATTATGCTTGGAGCGTTGCCACACATGACTTCACTGGCACTATTTAGTCTTCAGATTTAATTCTGCACCAGCGAAAAAGGGCGAACGGCGCACGGAGGGAGCCGTATCAGTAATCATCTGTAGTTTTATCTGAATTTGTCACGCACTCACAAAAGTTGGCCGGCTGGCTGGCCTGCAAGTACAGGATGTTCTGGCAGGCCGAGATAAAACGGCGCACAGGGAAAGGGATCTCCCAAACACTCCCTTTTGTTCCCACCTGACATGGCATTATGCCAAGAGTTCACTGCAGGAGTTCACAGGGAACCTGTATGAAATGATGTTACTCAGCTCTGTCTGATCAACAAATACATGTGTTTATGTATCGTGCATATGCCATAAAACTTCACTTATAATCAGGGTCCCAGTGAGACACAGGACCCCTTTATTAGCCTGGTGCAGCTACACGCTTTGACAAATTAACGCAGGTCTCAGTTAGACGCCTGATCTGGATTTTAACTTATTCCAGACAGAAAACTTCATCAGTGAAAAGCAAAAGACTAAAGTTTAACTAAAGTGTTTATTATTGAACTGTATAATATCAGGACAACCTGAAGGTTCAGTTATAACTTGCAATTTCAGTATGTGTAAATCTGTATTTCTACAGCCATTAAAGTTTAATTAATGTCTAGTTCTGCATAAGAAGCATATGAGGTTAAATGTAAATGTTTGGACTTACCTCCATCATGTTGACTATATTGTATATTCAGAAAAGATCAGCTGTTTTAAGTCATTATTCAGTGACAAAAGCTACTTTGAACAATTTTTCTTTATTTTGATAAATGCCTTTTATTTTCTTCTCATGCACTGTGGATCACAGCGTGTGTGTGTGTGTGTGTGTGTGTGTGTGTGATACATGATATGTATGTAAATATATGACAAAGCCAGCATGTTAAAGTTAATATTTTATCATTTGGATCACTGAGGGAACATAAAACATTTACTTCCATCCTGGACTGTCTTCTACGTCGTCTTTAGAAAGGTGTACATCAGGGTTGTTACATACAAAAAAACTTTCACCAGGTCCCGTTAGAAGGTCGTCTGTTATTCAAAAGATTAACCTGGATTACGTTATTTTCAAATCGCTTCTGCATGAATCCAACAAATGCTCAAATCCAAGACTTTACAATCAGTGCATTAGTCTCCCATGCTGAGACAAAAACAATAAATCACCCCTCAGTGTCCCAACACGAACTCTGACAACATTACTGTGAATAAAAACGACACAAAGAAGGAATCACTTGGTTACTGGCATCTTGAGCATGGACATTAACTGACAGGGTGCAGCAGCATTCTACAACATTCAAACTTTAACAAAACATTTGTGGTTCACAAAATAAAAAGTGACTAAATAACACTGATCTAATGTTCGTCTTTTCATGCGTGCATCGGACAGCAGTTCACAGACTGTCTATTTGATGTCTGCGCTCCTCTACAGTAGGTTTCTGAATATATTAGACGACTTTTAACAGCTAATTCAAATAGTATTTGGCATATCATAGGCCTTATTCCTGAGTAACTAAGCTCTTACACTATACATCACAAACTACATGTTAGTACTGACTGAACATTTTATTTTAGCAGGCATTAGATGGATAAGCTTATTCTCCTCTTCAGGCAGGACTCTGGTGTCACATACAATCTCATAACTTCAGTTTTTAATTGTTTATCTTTAAGTATCACATAGAAGTTTGATGTTGCATTAGAAAGGGTTATTGAGCCCTTGTGGGGAAAAAGAAAAGGTCTAGTGTGTAACATTTAGGAGGATCTGTTGGCAGAAACTGAGTATTATATTCTTAGGTATGTTTTCATTAGTGTATAATCACCTGAATATAAGCATTGTTGTGTTTTTGTTACCGTAGAATGAGCTGTTTTTATCTACAGGCGCTGCCTGGTGGCCGGCTGTGTGTTCTTCCTCATTTTTCTACCAGAACAGATAAACCAAAAAATTGGCTCTTGTTCGGGTTTTCTGTGAGTTTCACAGCCACCATAGTTTCTCCTCCAGTTCCTCCCTCAAAGGGAGGGTGAAGGGAGTGAGTTACAATCTGCTCAACTACAGATGCCACTAAATCCCACACACTGGTCCTTTAAGAGATTCCTGAAGAGCTGACAGCAACAATGTTAATAGAAAGCATGAAAACGCTACCGGATGCTGTCCCTGTAAGCTTCAGGATTTCTACTTTTCAATAAACTCTGGCCGCTTTCACACCAGAATCACAAAGCTGTGTTACAGCAGCTCTTCAGACCTCCTGTGACCACAGTCCTGGTCGAAGCGGATCTCCAGTGATGTGCAGCTGACTGCAGTCCCTCCGCCTTTAAAGAATCAAAAGGAGATGCTAATTGCTAAGTGGTATGTCAGACTGTGTTTGATGTTGTAAGAGAGATTCGTCCCAGGTGTGTGAGCCGTTTCCCTGTGAGACAGATGCAACATCTGCTCCTGCCTGGCACTATAACACTTGAGAATGAGTCAGTGATGAAAGTTTGGCCTGAGATTTCAGCTTATAAATATAGTTTTCAGCCCACAAACATGAGCTATAGTTTATAAGTCTTTTTGTGTTTCAGTCTGTTTTTTTGCTTATCACAGTTTTGATTTTATTGATGAGTTTCTGTTTATGAGTCCTTCGTGGGGGACTGCTTGGCAGCCTCGTCTAGCAGCCTCATATCTTCACGCAGAGATAGAGCTATGTGGAAAGTGTGAGGTTTCAGAGTCAGACCGTAGGTGTAGTTGAGTGTCGGGGGCCTGGCTGGGTCCATGGTGATGTGGCACTGGTGGGCGATGAGGGCCGTGAAGAGGAACAGCTGCAGCTTGGACAGCTCCTCGCCGATGCACCGCCGCTTGCCCAGGGAGAAGAGGAGCACGTTGCTGGTCAGGTCCTTGTTCAGCGCACCGTTCTGGTCCAGGAACCGCTCGGGGTCAAAGGTCTCCGGATGGGACCACAGCAGTGGGTCGTGGTTGATGGACCACTGGTTGATGAAGATGACCGTGTTCTTCGGGATGTCGTAGCCCATGATGGTGGTGTCCGTGGTGGTGGAGTGGGGGATGGTGAGCGGCGTGAAGCTCGTGTAGCGCATCACCTCGTAGATGAAGGCCATGACGAAAGGCAGCTGAGGCTGATCCTCGAGGGAGGGGAGTCGGCTGCGGTCCACCACCTTGTCCACCTCTTGCTGGAGACGCGTCTGCATCTCAGGAAACCTACGTTCACAGGTGAGAACTAAGTTTAAGTGACTTTATAAATAATGTTAATGCTTTTATTTGCAGCTTGAAGACAGACAGGAAACTGGGGAGGGAGAGAGATGCTGCAGGTTGGAATCAAACCCAGAACGATTCTGTAAGGACTCAGCCTATGTATGTGGGGCGCATGCATGTCAGCTACAACTTTGCTTAATGATATGAGTGAGCCACCATCTCTGCAGGAAGCTGTACCTGACGTTTAGTGACCAAAGAAACTTCATATGAGAATATCATGTTACACACTGCTGGAGAAAAGTACTGCAGACATAAAACGACTATTTATCTCTGAATAAAGAGGTTTGAGGTGCTGCCAGCCTACTGATGCATCGGTGGGATTAAACAAATCAAGGCAGAATAAAAACTCGTAAAAGATCTGTGTAAAGATTGTGCTGCAGTAAAACGCTGACTGGGCACTCACTCTCACTGGTGTGCAGTTTCAGCTCATGCTGCCAGTACCTGCCTGTGCCTCAGCTCCCCCCGATTGTTACATAACACAAATGCTACTGAACTTCCTCATGTCTGTACAGCTTTAGCAACAGGATGGAGGCCAACTCTGATTTATTATCTGCTGTCATTTCCCATTGTAATTTACTCTGTGGGTGTCGTTTATCTAGGAGATTAAAATGATCAGATAAAATGAGAGAAAAAGTTGCTTACTTGACGAGTATGAGGATGATCCACTGCAGTGCAGTTGACAGTGTGTCTTGGCTTGCTCCAAATACATCCCCAACAGTGGAGATCACATAGTCCTTCCCCAATGAGAGCCCTGTTTTATCGCTCAGCTGGTCCAGAGCCACAATTAAAGCATCAGTCATATCCCTGATGGTGCTCGACTGGATGGTTTTCCTGTGTTCAATTACTTTATCCCGGATGAAAATGCCAAACTCCTGGTTGAGCTCCTTGAAGTTGTCAAATATGGTTTTGATGGGGTTTGGGAAGTACTGGAGCCAGGGCATCACGTCCACCATGCTCCCTGCCCCCACTGTCTGGGTGAACTGGTCGTTCCTGCCCACCACCTGCCGAAACTCCTCGTCCTCATAGGAGTACCTCTTCCCAAAGCACAGCGCGCTCATTATATTGGCCGTGGACACCACCAGATATGTCATGGGCTGGAAATACTGCTGCGCCTTCGTTCTCTCCACCAGCAGCTGCAGCAGCTGCCTGACCTCACAGACGACGTGGTGCTCAAATGTCTTTTTGGTCTGCAGGTTCCCGTTGGAAAACATCCGGACGGTGGACTGGGCCACTTTGCGGTGCGTCTTCCACCAGTCCGTGAAGGTGTTAAACGCGAGGCCGTTCCCGTTGGAGACGTACTGGAAGGAGGTGAAGTCCGGTCTGCCTGCAAATTCGGGTCCCTGCTTGACCAGCGCCTGTCTGATGGAGTCCCCGTTCAGCACCACCACGGTCCGAGAGCCGAGTTTAATCTGGAACACTTTGCCGTATTTCTTCGCCATGCGCGTAAAATACAAGTGCGGTGATTTGCCAAGTTGCGCAGCGTTCCCGATGACCGGCCAGGCGATGGGACCGGGCGGGCAGCGCATCGACCGGTTCCGGAGCCACCGCCACAGGTGGAGGGAGACCAGCAGAGTCACACATGCCAGTAGCAGAGCTCTTGGAGTCGCTGTGTTAATCCCCTCCAGTGTCACATCCATGATGGGGATCCTGCAGGTGGACTGGGATAATAATACAGATTATTTAAGGCTGTGTGTGGAATATGTGGCACATTATAGGGTGCAGACAAAAAAATATACCTGCTTATGTCCGTGGTTCATCGAGAAAACTAGCAGTCTTCACGTTTTTTATCAAAAATAATATTTAATTATCAGAAAACATCAACGTGTTTCTCCGTGAGCTGAATAAAAAGGCTACATCTTAACCATCCCAAAAATATTTTGTTATTATTCCCCAAAACAGATCCAGTCATTCACAGTGTGCAGCCTGTTGTGCATCCACAGACAGTGGGTGTGTGTGTGTGTAAGTGTGTTTGAGCTCCCTGCTCTCTGTCCGCAGCCTCATGCTTTAAAGCCTCACAGCACCAACTGAAGTCATTTATCCTCAAACAGCGCAGCATCACGGCCCGTCACAGTCTGTGTGTGCGCTCGCTTTGTTACAGTGGGCAGGTTTGTTTCAAAGGGTGTCACCCCACCCTCCCACCATCACCCCCCCCCCCCCCCCCCCTCCCTCTCTCTCT